AATGAAGCAATTGAGGCATTACCTTGTGGTTAGAAAATAAATCCCTTTTGCTCTTCAAATAACCTGACAAATTTCCATATTTGCAATATTCAACAATCACCATCAATGGTCCTGTGAGGAACAAGGTGAATGACAAGGTGAATGTAGAAAATGCACTTCTATTAATGGTACCAGCACAGACTTAAGGTAAAAGCTCTCTTAAAGGTAAAACAATAAAAACAAAATTGATGTGAACTTAGCATTAACTGTCCTACATTTTATCATAACACAAAAGCAAAATGGGTTACTTTTAGGCCCACAAAAATAAAATTAACAAATAAGAGCTTCAGATTTTTTTTTGTTTGTTGTTTTGTTTTTTTACCTCTGCCCTTTGTGCAGGCTCCCAGCAGATTCACCACGTTAAGATGATGGCCTATATGTGTCAAAATCTTCAATTCAGTCATCAGTGCTTTATATTCACTTGCTGTTGCTCCTTCTACAAGGATAATATAAATTAGAGGGAATTCCAGCTCCAAGGCTAGATTTCTCTGGTCTAGAAATGCCAGGTGGTTTAACTCCTAGCCAATGTTTCTTGCTGATCACTTTATTTCTGGGGTTCTTTTACTAGTTGGAAATCCAGACTGCAATTATGTCTGCTGTTTTAGAAACTTAAACTTGGCTCTGTTGTGCTACTAGTTGTTCTTTCAGGTTGGATTCTTTAAATCTTATTGTTCTACATGCTGTCTCAGATCCTGAACATAGTTCATTTTTATATTGGAGACTTGCCTTTCTTCCTCTTTGATTCACTCTATTTACGTATGTGGAATTTGTTGATGTTAAATCTGGGTCTGGAGATTTGGATGATGTTCCAAGACACCCATGGAACTGGCTAAGGGTTGAAGTTTTGTCTATAAATCTTTCACAAGGAGGCCAGCGGTTGATCATTTCAGCTTTTATAATTTAACATTAATGTTTTGCATCAGTGAGTGAGTGAGTGAGAGAGAGAGAATGATTATACCGGGATAGAGAATGAGAAAACTACAATGATTATAGGTCAGCCATTTTCAAAAGCTGTTGTCTATTACTATATTGTCACAAAAATGCAATATATTATGTAATAGATTGCAATGGTTACAAATTTTGAACATTTGAAAATGAGAGTGCATTCATTTTGATTACCATCAACTATGAGTCAAATGTATGCTTATATGTCAAGCTTATACATACCTTTCAGCATTTTCACAGCAACAACTTTGTATGTGGGTGATTTCTTAATTCCGAATGCAACTGCTTGCACTACTTTCCCAAAAGCACCTCTCCCAAGTGTCTTTCCTGCATCAAAAAGAAATCAATTCTTTGTGACATTATTTTTAAAAGTGAGACAGCTTTGGGTGAAATTATAATATTACACTCTCCAATATTTTAAAGCTCTAGTGGTATGAACATGGCAGAATTTGAATAGTATGAATATTCAGAATTTGCGATAAAATGAACCAGTATTATACTGACCTATGTGAAATTATTTTAAAGTGCAGGATTTTAAGTTGTTTAAAATACTGTAAGAAAAAATGGAATAGAGACCGTGAACTCAATATGGTCAGTAAGGGGGGGGGGAATTAGTACTTGTGATCCTGTGTATTTTAGCCTCAGCTATATTGTTTTTGGTAACATGTTTCTGGGTTATATTAAGAAAGATTTTTAACAAATGACAAATTAACTAGAAGTTCCAAGGAATTTGCACTACAAAACACAAAAACATATTATCTCAGCCAACATCTTGGGCCAACTCACTACTGTCATAATTTGGCTAGTACAGTCGAGTTCATATTCATATTTTTAAAGTTTTTAAATGAATTCATTGATTTTCTTATTTTTTCCTGAAAACTGGTCAACATGTTTTACAACCATGCTTATTTAAGACCAAATGCATCAGATCACATCTTTTCCCAACTATTTTTGAGATTTTCTGCTAAGACCCTTTTTCTGGCCTTCCTGGCAGAGGTTTAATATAAGTCTTTGTCAACAATGGCACCCATACTATGGAACACCTTTTCTGTAGAATTGGCCTAGGACCAACACTGTAAACCTTTCAGCTCTTACTTGAAATAGCTTTGAAAAGATAAGACAGAAGAGATAGTAAAAAAAAAATGCTGTGGGATCAGTGAAATTCAATAGCCCTTCTTTGTTGAATATGGACAAGTTGGAAAATCCTAGCTGAAAATGTTTTCTATTGAACTCTTGCACTGAGTAAGAGACTGGACTCTTAAATAGCCTCTCCTACACTATGCTACTAGGATTCTATATTACTGTTCATTTGTTCATATATATAGACTGATAATTTTGCATATTTTTAAAAAGTAATTAATATTTCATTTACACACTGAAATAAACAACTCATAAACCTCATTCTGTATCCTTAAATACCACAGGGGTATTGCTGTAGCTGAACATTGACATATTTTTCTAGATATGTCTTCAGTCTGAAAAATCTCAGTTTCATGGAAAAATCTAATAAAATTCCCTTACTTCTACCCCCATTCTTGTTTTTTTGTTGTACTTTGGTTTTAGTCACATTACATTTTACTGCCAAATGCAGGCTCTTAAGGCTTTGTTGAACATACTTGAAAACTTTAAGACCTTGATGAAATTTTCCTTGTTTTATAAACTGAATAAACTTTCCCTAAGGGCATAGGAAGTTAATTACACAGAAAGCAATTTTATTACTAAATGAAAAGTGAGCTACATCTCATTTGAAGCAATGGCAGAATACTCTCTGAAGTTTTTTTTTTTCTAACTAGAATGCATGGTTAAGTTGTATAGGGCCAGAAGGCGACCATGGCTTTTCATTAAGGAGGGTGAGTGAGTAGCTGATGCCAATGTAATGCAAAGTACACTACCAGTGGCATTGCTGTCTGTAAAGGATCATCATCTTCAATGGGAGGAGTCAATATGGCCTTGGGAAATGATTATGATTCTATGTGATTAAACATCCTAGATAGTTTATAATGTCTTATTTGTAGTTTCATTTGTGAATAGATTTAGGAAGGGTTGCACATTATCGAGAAATGTCCAGGCACTCTATTTTCAGTAAGGAAGCTGCCTCATATCAGGCCAGATTGCTGGATCATGTAGCCCAGTTTTGGCTATTTTGATTAACAAGATATATTCAAGATTTTGTAATAATTAGTTTTGAGATGCAAGTTGTTGCGTCCTTGGCGGGAAAACAGACACGAGAAGCAGCTGGAGTTCTCAGTTTCTTTTATTCAGCGTTCAGCTTACAGGAAGATGGCTTCAGCCTCGCCCAAACGCCTCGCAGCCTCTTATATAGGCAACTCCCGGGTAAATGGGTTACTTTTTCCCGCGCCAGCACCCGCGCATGCGCACGCGCTGGCGACAGCCTGTCTGGTCCCGGGCAGCTTTGCACCTGCCCGGGACTGCCTGCAAACGCCTGAGCCGTTTGCAAAGGCTCGGGACATAACACCCTTTCCCCCGGGCTAAAACTACTACCAACATACAACATTTATTTTATATGACATTTTGCTCCTCAGTGCTCCCACTGATTACTGGCTTTTGCCTTGCCAGCAATGTTATGTAGGCTTCTAGGTACTTAGGAGATTTCTTTGCCTCTCTGTGACCTTTTAGCTGTGGGTACTGGGCATAAGTCCCCTGATCGGGAGGGAGGCGTGAGCCTGTTCTTTCTATTGTGCCCTGGTGTCTTCCATGACTGTGCCCCAATGCCTGCCTGTTGCTTTGCCCACCGGCTCGTCAGGCCAGGGCTTCTGTTGCCTTTGTACCTGGTGACTGCCTAGCTGTAGACCTCGGTCCCCTTGAAGTGATAGCCACTGCTGGGCGTCTCTGTTGAACCTCCTAGGTCCGTCCAAGACCTGTCAGGAGGATGTCCATTCCCTGAACCCCGTTCTGTGTCCGGGCTTGTGTGGGTTTCTGTACTTTCCCAAAACTCAGTTACTCCCTGATTTGGGCTAGAGGTGTTGTAGTCGGGACTTGGTTCCTCGACCACCTCCCTGTAAGTTTGACCCCCTGTAGGATTAGGGGTAAGGTCAGGCCAACTTTGGGGATTGTGTGCCAGCTCTCGTGCGGGGAATGATTTGTTGGGATGCCCCCGGGTATCCTCCGTGACTGGAGTGCTGTGTGATATGTGTGGAAAGTGAGTATGCCCCCGGGGTGACTCCCTGGCTGGAGTAGGCGTGGATGCCTGTTGTGTGGGTAAGCTCCATGACTTCCTTTTCGGAGCAATTGCAGAATCTTGTGACGGGCCGTCTGTGGCTCCCTCAGTGGAGATGGGCAGCAGCTCGTGCCCTTCCCTTTGCTCCAAAGGGTCCCCCTCCACCCTGGAAAGACCCAGGAGTCTCAGCAGAAAAGTCTCGCTAGAGCGAAGTTGGTCGATGTGCCGACGCAGGACACGACCGTTGTCCAGGGCAACCTCGTAGGAGAGAGGACCTGTGATCCTGGACACAGAAGCGGGGACCCATGTATGACCAGGCCGTAATTGCGAGCCCAAACCGGGGCACCCACAAGTAGTTGTCTAGGTGCCCTAGGATGTGAGGTAGATGAAGGCAGTCTGTCCGGATGCAACCGGTCAAGTCTAGTAGTAAGTTGGCGCCCCCAACGAAGTTCAGCTGGACTTCTCCCTGTAGAAGGGGACGGTGTGGTACGATAAGAAAGGAGAAAGTCAGCCAACCTGTGATGCCAGTCCCCGTAGGTGAGTCTCTTCAAGGCGTCCTTTGCGATGCGCACCATGCGTCCGCCAGACCGTGGGTGGACGGGTGAAAAGGCGCAGACGGTGCATGACGAATCAGGTTGCCTGTAGAAAGCTTGAATTCGGAGGAGGTGAATTAGGGCGTTGTCGGACACGGGATGAAATCTGCAGCCCGCGTGTGCAGCAAAAATCCCCCTCAGTACTGAAATAGTCTTTGCAGGGTGGTGGATTGAGACAGGCACAACCTCAAGCCATTTGAATGGCTGTCAACAAGGACCAAGAAGAACTGGCCCTGAAAGGGCCCAGCGTAGTCAATGTGCACCCTAGACGATGGGGACTGTGTTTCCTCCCATCTATGCACAGGAGCTTGGGGCATCTCTGGGCGAGATCGTTGGCAGAGGTGGCATGCGTGCACCTTAGCCTCAATATCTTTATCTAAAGCAGGCCAACACAAGTGGCTTCGTGCAAGAGCCTTCATACGGACAATGCCAGGATGACCCTCGTGGAGGGATTCTAAGACCCTAGTCCTCATTGAGGTGGGAATGACAACTCTGTTTCCCCAAAGCAGACAACCTGAGAAAGGGACAGCTCGTTCCTTTTGGACCAGAAACTCTGAAACTCAGGACTAGGGCAGTGCTCAGGCCAACCAGGACAAAACCCAGGAACGGACACGTGAAAGTGTGTGATCTGTACCTGTTTCAGCGGTAACATCCCTGGCACTAAGAGGGAGCTCGGGCAAGGCTTGGATTGATAGAATGTTGACAGCTGGCGCGGGGTCAGCTTCTACTACTGGCAGAGGCAACTACTGAGGCCATCAGCATGGCCCATTTCTTTCCCAGGCTTGTGGAGTAATGAAAAATCATATGCAGACAAGAAATAGACCACCTAAGCATTCTAGGGGAAATGATGTGGGGAGTCTGCTTACGTGTGGTAAACAGTCCCAGCAGAGGCTTATGGTCAGTGAAGACCGTGAAATGCCTGCCATATAGAAAATCGTGGAATTTTTTAATTCCAGCAACAACAGCCAGAGCCTCACTGTCTATCTGAGCGTAGTTGCGCTCGGCAGAAGACAGTGTTCTGGAGTAGTATGCAATAGGAACCTGAGTTCCATCAGACCTGAGGTGACTCAGGACAGCTCCAACCCCGTAGGGGGACGCATCACAAGCGATGCACACAGGGAGAGACTCGTTGAAATGTGCAAGAACACTGTTAGAAGTGAGCAAGGCCTTGACTTCTTTAAAGCAAGCCTCATGCGCTTGTGACCACAGCCACACAGCCTGTTTGTCTAGTAGCCTGTGAAGAGGCTCAGCTACACTAGCTTTATGTGGAAGAAAAGAATTGTAGAAATTCAGGAGGCCTAGGAAGGCCTGAAGTTCGGCCTTAGACTTTGGCCTGGGTGCTTGTAAAATAGCAGTTAGTTTGGATTCAGCAGGATGAATCCCAGCAGCATCAATTTTGAATCCCAGAAATTCAGTAGAAGGCACCCCGATCTTGCATTTGTCTTTTCTGAGCTTGAGGCCTGATTCCCTGAATCTTAACAGGACAGCCCTAAGTCTTTCAGCTAGAATGTGTGTGGAGTCTCCTGCAATCAAGACATCGTCAAAGTAGGGGCAGAC